CTAAATGAGCTCAGTGTGTGTGTGTGTGTGTGTGTGTGTGTGTGTGTGTGTGTGTGTGTGTGTGTGTCTCGCAGTATTAATTATAAAGGAAGAGGTCATGAATTTGAGAGGGCCTGGGAGGACATAGGAGGAGTTGGATGAGGAGAGAGAGGTGTGGAACTATCCTTAAAAAATAATTTATGAAACCTCCAATTATGAAACCTCCAATATAGACTTATTGTATATGCTGGTTATTAACACATTTCAGGAGTAAAACAAGACCCTTTTTACTATTTTCAAAAAGAAGCAGAAATAAACAAGAGTCTCACGGGCAGCCTCTAGGAAATGCAGACCCAGCCCTTCACTGTCCACATGCAGCACACTTTGCTTTGAAGGAACTTCCTCTAATGTGCCCATCAGCAGTTAAGTCTCCATTTAAAAAAAAACCACCCACTCTTCAAGAACACACCCTGGAGAAATGTCTGCCCACTGCTGCTCACTACTCCCAGGTCTCCCTGTGAGGGAAGCAGGAGTCACCAACTGGTGGGAGCTGGTTAAGGACATTGCCTCTCTTTCAGAGTTCCAGAGGTGAGTTCCCTGCAACAGTGTCAGAGACCCACGTCCGTCTGTAGCTCCAGTTCCAGGGGGATTTGACGCCCTCTGCTGGCCCCTGTGGGTACCTGCACACAGGTGCATATATACAAACAGGGACATGCACACACACACACATAAATAAAAATAAATTTGAAACAAGATCAAACTTATCAACATTCTAGCTAGGAATAAGGAGTTCATGGGCCCCCACCCCCAACTGAAGAACTATAGATGGCTTCTGGGGGAAGGAGAGTCAGTTTTCTCTAAAGGAGGTGGCTCACTCTTCAATGGATGGCCTCCTACCCACAAGAATACAGACAGCACCAACAAGATCCCATGGGCTATTTAGTAAAATAACAAATAACATGGGGACACAGGGAGAGTGGATCCAGATGCTGTTGGGGGAGGGGTGAATATGATCAAGACACATCATATGGCTGGTAGTGGTGCATGCCTTTAATCTCAGCACTCTGTGAGTTCAAGGCCAGCCTGGTCTACAAAGTTAGTTCCAGGACAACCAGGGCTACACAAAGAACTCTTGTCTCGGGAGTGGTGAGTGGGGGTGGGGGTGATACACTGATAGACTGTATGATATTTTCAAAGATATAATGAAAATATTTTAAAGAGCGTCACTAAATTGGGATCCAAATAAGAAACAAGAGAAAATGAGGCAGCATATTTTCATGCTCACCAAGGCATTTAACATGCTCCAAAGACCCTCATGAGTGCAGGGTCAGGACTCAGCTCCCAAGTCCAACCAGCCACCTTAAAATTGGCTTTCTCCTCAGAGCCAAATATCCTTTTCTGTCAGTTGGTTGTGTATGTGTTGAATTCTAATCACCTATACATGTTTTTCTTTCAAATTCCGATTTAAATTAGGTTATTAGCCTTATTTTAAATAGGGAGGTGGGGGCGTAAAGCCAGGCATGGTGGTGGTGCACACCTTTAACCCCACACTCAGGAGGCAGAGGTATGCAGATCTCTGAGTTCGAGGACAGCCTGGTCTACAGAGCGAGTTCCAGGACAGCCAGGGAGGTTACACAGAGAAACCTTGTCTCAAAACCAAAAATAAATAAATAAAAGGGAGGGGACGGCCTGTAGTCCCAGCCCTGGGAGAGTGGGGGCAGCTGTGACAGGAGGATCAGGAGTTCAAGATACCCCCCCCCAGGTGAGCTCCAGGCCAGTCTAAACTACATGAGACCCTGCTTTAAAAGGGGGGGGGACAACAAAAGAAAAACCCTTTTAGGAGGTAAACATGACCAAAGTACATCACACCCACGTATGGAAGTGTTGCAATGAAACTATTACTTTGTGCAATTTACATACGCTGATAAAAGAATTAAGACACGGATGTATTTTACTTAAGTGTTGACTCTGACACAGGAGACTTACATAATATCTTCCCCAAACCCTTAGGCTAATAGCTGATTGAGAATTCTCTGTTCACATGCTGCCACCTGGTGACCAAAGTGAGAAGAAAGCTCTGAACTCGGGGGGG